TATATATGTATATATATATATATATAAATAGTACTGTTTAGTAAACAATATTTAGTCTTTTAATTAAAAAGGAAGAAAAATATACTCTAACTTTATAATGTCTATATTTGATGGTCACATAACTCAATTTTATTTTTCATTTGAATACCTTAAAAAGCCCATATAAATGAATTTCATCATAGTTTTATTCTAGAACCGGATATATATAGTAATCTTGAAAATTACAATAAATCACATATTTTCAAGGTCATTAGTGTATATGTAAAATTCATAACTCTAATGAATTATTAAATTTTGTGAGTGCATGGAATATGGAAAGGGAATACAGAAATGTGCATATCAATTAGCCCAAAAACCCTAGCTTATATACAGGAGCGAGTGGTTCGGATTGAAACCAATCCAACGGCTACCAAAATCCTACTATGCTAATATTAGTATACGGCATCATAGCCGTACACTTGGCCCTCACATCATCCCCTCCTCTCGGAATAATGGAAGGCCGTCAGGGTTCTCTTGTAGATAGGCCGGGATCTGGAGGAACGTCAGGAGGAGGCATCGGCAGATCTGTAGACGGTATTAACTGCTTCTGATCCCTTTGTATGAAGCGTTTTAACCGCTGTACTGCACAATCTCCGGAGGATCGGCCTGCTGAACGTCATGCCGAACCTCATAAACTTGTTCCAACTTGCCGCAACACCCGATATGGTCCTTTCCACTGCGCAAGAAGCCCCTTAGATAAACCACGTACCGTAAGATGGGGAAAACGGACTAACACCAAATCATCCACTTTGTACTCCGCAGGTGGATGATGATGGGAATTGTAGCGCCGTTGTTGTCCCACCTGTATGCGGCCTAAGTGTTCAGCAGACTCTGCTCGGACAAGTGGAAGAATGCTTGTCAAATATTGATCCCATGACCTAGCATCAGAAGCTCGTGGCAATCGCGAAGGTAAACCCAGCTCTATTGGTAATATTGGATCATGACCATATAGAAGTTTATATGGTGAAGCACCAACAGAACTCTGCACCCCTGTGACATAGGCATACCGAAGAGACGGCAAATAACCATCCCAATCCGAATGCTGAAAGTTCATATACTTCGCAATCATCCCTTTGAATGTCCGAACGAGCCGTTCCACCAGACTGTCTGATTGTGGATGATAAGCACTCGTAAAAGTGTGGCGTATCCCCAACCGAGATGTCAAAACATGAAATACCTCAGCCATAAATGCAGGACCATTATCCGAAAGAATCCGCTCTGGACAAGAATGCTGGAACACCACTCGATTGAGGAGGAAGTATCCAACAGCAATTGCAGAGGCACTAGCAAGAGCACCAACTTCCACCCAACGAGTCAAGTAGTCAGAAGCAATAATAACATACTCATTGCCAGCAGTCGATCATGGAAAAGGTCCCATAAGATCAAATGCTACCAACTCAAACGGACGGGAAACTGCAATTGACTCCAACCGTCCTTCCACAGCACAAGGGGGAGTATTACGAACTTGGCACCAAATGCAGCTATGCACATACCGGATAATATCACGTCGCATCTCTGGCCAATAGAAAGACCTGCGCAGTTTCTCGGTGATACGACGGTGTCCCATATGCCCACCTAGAACAGGAGAATCATGGTAGACATGGAGAAACCGCGGAATAAACACTGAAGGCACCACCAGCCATAAATGATCATCAGGATCTGTCCCCACAAAATAAAGAAGGCCATCTTCAAGGCGATATTGAGAATGTAAATGCCGGAAAGGCAAGTCATCAGCAAGTGATGCAGGATTCTCAAACCCATCTCGAAGCCTTTGAATCCACGGCTCAATTTTTTGAGCCTCACAAACCTCATCAAGAGAAGGTAGATCTTGCTCTGCGCCCTGTGGACACTGAACGTCAAGGACAGCAACCGCTGACGGCATAGAATCCTCATCTAGAAAATCCACAGATGTTGGAACAACAGGTTCATCAGAAACATGAGAAGTGAGTGGAGAAGGAAGAGGAGCTCGAGAAAAGGCATCAGCATCAGCCATAGAACTCCCTGGGCGATGAACAACATCGAAATCATATATCTGAAGCTTCAAAGCCCATCGAGCCGTACGACCAACCAGGTTCTTCCACTTCAATAATGAAGTAACAGCAGCATGGTCACCTTCAAGTAACGTCCGAGAACCATGTAGATATGCATGAAGTTTCTCGAAACCCCAGACTGCTGCTAAACACTCCTTCTCTGTCGTAGAGTAGTTCATCTCTGCTGGTTGTAATGTACGGCTTATGTATGCAATGGGATGGCACTGACCAGGCACACTCAAGCTCTCTTGCATCAACACACCTCCAAGACCAATGTTAGAAGCATTCACGCGCAAAATAAAAGGTCGAGTGTAGTCAGGATATGCCAAAACCGGAGGAGTCGTCAATAGCTCTTTGAGATTCACGAACGCCTGCTCACAATCCGGAGACCAGATGAAAGATGACGTTGATGACTTCAACAATGCTCGCAATGGTGTAGTGCGATCGGAAAGATGATCCACAAAACGATTGAGATACTGCACGTTACCCAAAAAACGCTGCACATCATTCACACACTTCGAAGTAGGGAACTTTAGAACAGCCACAAGTTTGTCAGGATCAACTTGCAAACCCTCACGAGAAATACGGTACCCAAGATAAGTTGTGTCCTTGGACCCAAACACGCACTTTGACCGCTTCAATTTTAAACCAACGTCGCGTAGCCGATCCAACACTTTACAAACATCACAAACGTGCTCCTCCCACGTCCCCTCCGAGTGGATCAAGACATCATCAATGAAGTCAGCCGTCACCTCCGGCATATCGCAAAGAACCTCGTCCATCATCCGCTGAAAAGTTACTGGAGCATTGTTCAAACCAAACGGCATCACCAAGAACTCATACAAACCAAATGGTGTACGAAAAGCAGTCTTAGGAA